CCCCAAAACCCCAAAACCCCATTAAGTAAAAATCGAGTAGAATAACGAATATTAAACAATATATTAATTACTTCTCACTATCAATCATCGAGATCTGGGGCATTTTGATCTCTTGGCTTGGGACCACCAGCTGGCTTAGCCATAATAATTTGATCGACTCTTAAAATTGTTAGTACTGCATCAATTGCTAATTTGATAGCCCATGTCTTTACTTCCATGGAATCAAAGATAGCACACTCCTTCATATCTTTTACTTGTCCATCTGCGACATCAAGACCGAAAAGAGATCCCTTAACAGTTTCAGCATATAACTTAGCAATAATTTCTTCAGCCTTAAGGCCAGCATTATCAGCGAGAGTTCTTGGGATAACTTCGAAGGCTTAACCAAACTTCTCAACGGCGTATTGATCAAGACCTGGTTGAGTCTTAGCATAAGTTTAGATCTTTGAGGCAAGATGGATTTCAGTGGCACCACCTCCTGGGAGTAGGCGCTTATCCTTTACTAGTGATTTAACTGTATTGACTCCATCATCAATGGCTCTCTCAGCATCATCTAAGAGTGAGTTTGTTGAACCTCTAAGAACGATGGTGGCAAGTTTATTCTCATCCTCATCTCTTCTGAAGATGGTGACCTTGGTGCTTGAAATTTCCTTGACGGTAACTTCATCAGCATATCCTAGCTCCTCTGGGGTTGGAGTTCCTAGCTTGACGACAGCAACTGCACCTACTGACTTGGCGATTCTCTTTAACTCCCACTTGCTCATGAGCTTGAGGACGAAGATCTTATATTTCTCGAAGAAGTGAATAGCTAGTTCACTGATTGAACCAGATCCAATAACAACTGTGACTCCAGCTTCAGCTAGTCCCTTAATGAAGTGTTCGAATTGATCTTCTTCTCCCTTAGTGTAGTTCAAAAGATCGTCAGCATTCTTTAATAATACAGTTCCCTTAGTCTCACCTTGTTGCATTTCAATTGAGGTGTTGAAGATGGCGATTTTAGCCTTTTCGACGTGATGGAATGAGGTTTCTGATCCTCTGGTGACGACCATACCATGGATAACTTGAGAGTCATTAATGGTACCTCCGAGAACTTTTTGTACTCTAACTTGATCAACGTTGAATTTAGTTGGGTTTTCTGGCATAGCGTATAGAGAAGCTTGAGCAATAAGGCCTGAAAGGAAATCTTCGAGACCGAACTACTTGCTTGAGATTGGAGCTCTGATGCATTTTTGTAAATCTTCTCTGTTCTTGACGCTATCGATGGAGTAGCATGATAAGCCTTCTACGATCTCAAGAGCTTGCTTGGCACCCTTTTCGTAACCAATAAGAATCTCTGATGGATGGAGACCCATCTTCAACAATTATTCGGCTTGTTGCATGAGTTCACCGGCAAAAGAGATAACGAAGTTAGTACCGTCACCAGCCTCGCTCTCTTGCATCTTTGCTGCCATAGCAATCATTCTGGCAGCTGGGTGGTTAACCTCGACCTCTCTGATGATGGTAGCGGCATCTGAGGTAACGAACAGTTTGTCCAAGTGGTTGATGACCATCTTGTTCATACCTATACATACAAATATGGGTTAAAATCAAGTATTGGAGGGAATAATAAAACATACCATGAGGTCCGAGAGATGATCTAGTCATCTTTGACAAAGTCTTGCAAGCGTCAATGTTTCTAAGGATAGCCTCCTCAAGCCCTGAGAAATGCTTAGAGCCCTATTATGAATATATAAAATCGTTATGATACTTCTTTAAGTAATGCACCGAATCCAGATGAAGCGAACATATTGTTTTCCTATTTTTTAAAGATTTAAATTTATTATATATTATATCTGCAAAACATAATCAATACTCAGGCATGTGGGGTTTTGGGGTTTTGGGG